CTCTATGTTTCTTTGAATGGCACTAGAATTTTGCTTCAACGCACTTACGTCAAAACCTATCTTGTTTCTCCGCTCGATCATCTCAAGGTAACATCTATTTCAGTTGCGCAGGTTTTTGAATTTTATGCCGTTTCTCTCAATACCGTCAATATAGTTGCTTTATCCTGGGAAATATGCCGCTGGCGAGGCGCTATAACTGTTCGGCTCTTGAATTTGAGGTATTGCTCTTTGATATTTCATCCCTTTAAAATCAATATGATGGATACTTCATTAATGGTGCTCGTTGAATGGTATCTTTACATCACGGATATTGATATTGTCTTTTCTCAGTAGTAAATATGAAGCTTTTTCCCGCTTTTTTGTTTTTTGTAATAATTTGAATAAACTTATAAATGTCCTAAGTTGGTGTGGTTTATTAGTTTCACAATATAAGGAGCTTTTCTCGAATCTTTCTCATTTCAGATTATTGGGAAGTTCAATCGTGCTCGAGCAGCCCGTCTCACACTTCCTCATCATGTGTGCCAAACTCCTCTTTTTATGCCTGTTGGAACTCAAGGTCAGGTTGCATTAGTTTTATTTCTGTTAAGGGTATTCTTAAAAGTACTTCAAAAATATGTTTTTGGGTTGCAGGGACCATAAAAGGCTTAACCACCAACCAGCTTCAAGACATTGGCTGTCAAATAATACTTGGGAACACCTACCATCTGGAACTACGCCCTACCTCTGAACTTATTGATGAGCTTGGGGGTCTCCACAAATTTATGAACTGGCCAAGGGCTTTACTGACTGATTCAGGAGGCTTTCAAATGGTTGTCTATTATATTGCCATTGTACTCAATGCCATTATTTATTACTCCCATACTTTGATTGTTTACTTTTTGGTTAATGTGTGTTATTTCCATGGCTTTGTGGCAAAAGCAACAATAACGCATCACTGTCTTCAGGTTTCTTTATTACATTTAGCTGATATTACTGAAGAGGGTGTAACGTTTCAGGTAGTTCATTCCTTTAAGCTCTCATACATGTCTATTAAAAGTTCTGCAGTTCAGTTACTTCAGTTTGAATAGAACCTCTAGTTGAAATTAATGTACTCTCTCTGTCAGTGTGTCCCAAATTAAGTTGCCTGTGCTTTGCTGCAAGAATATGAGCTCAACCCTATTAGCTGAGATCAAAATGCTGTTAAACAATTCCAGCCCATTTATTGGGTTCCTGATAAAGTTTTTATTCCAACAAGACTTATTCCAGTTTACACATAGGTATATAGCGGCTCTAAATTCAGCAACAATGCGAAACACACGGAAATTTTACTCGTAGAAACATCTAATTCTAGTTGATGATAAATTTTGGGACAAGTGCATAAAAAATTGATCATGCTTGTGCTTGAATACTGAACAGCATTAAGTTACAAATTTTGCATCAATATCTTGCATGTTATTGGTAACAACAAGCAAACTTTCTTTGGGCTTTTGCAGTCTCCTGTGGATGGGAAACCAATGCTTCTTACACCTGAAGAGTCGATACACATACAAGTAAGTACCTTATGCTAGAAATGGAAATCAACACCCATCATATATAAATCCTATGAATACACCCCTTGAGCATACCATTGGACTTATTCAGCTGTTGTGGATATTCTCTAGCATTGTCCCATCATATTTTTACTAATTCTGCAATTAAGACTGGCCGCACCATTTTACTAAGCGTATTTGTGATTCTCTTAGACCATAGACATTGCATCTGGGTTCTTTATTGTCAAAATTTGTCTGGATCTGGTCTCTAACTATAATGTCT